GGGGGCAGTGGGAGGTGGGGGATCAGATGGAAGCCTCAGGACTTCCGTAACCCTCTTCTGGCAAAGACATCTTCGGGACTGGAGCTACTTCTAAATGCAGCTGCAGACATTGGTCTTCTCTGGTGGAGAGAAGTTATCTGGGAGCTGGGGCAAGATGGGGAAAGGGGCCGCTGATGTGGGAAGATGAGCTCTGTAGACCACAGCTTGACCACTGGTATCTTGGGTTTCAATCCGAGTTCTGTCTCTAGCTGTGTGACCTCAGATAAGACATTTCCTCTTTTTTTTTCTTTTTTAAAATTAATGTTTATTTACTTTTGAGAGAGAGAAAGAGAGACAGAGTGTGAACAGGGGAGGGGCAGAGGGGGAGGCCCACAGAAAGAATCCACCAGCAGGCTCCCAGGCTCTGGTGGCTGTCAGCAGGGGAGCCCCGACCAAGGAGCTCAGACTCATGAATCATGAGATTGTGACCTGAGCCAAGGCCAGATGCTTAACCAACTGAGCCACCCAGGCAACCTAAGACATTTACTTTTTTGACCTCAGTTTTCTGATCTGTACTGGAAAGCTACATGCATTTCAGCTGAGAGCCTCTGGTTTTAGTCTTGGATGTTCAAGTGGGGACCTGACAGACCTAAGGGGGGGTCATTGGGAGGAGGGCATCCTCAGGAGTATCAGCATAGTATCAGCATCCTCAGGAGTATCAGCATAGTATCAAACAGGCTGCCCCTTAAAAGGGCAAATATGTAGGACTTCCCGGTGCTCACCCCCTTCTCTGTGGGGACAGTACTTCCTGTTTGGAAGGTCATTGTCTCCATCTCCCATCTTCCTCCTGAGGCCATGCTACCTCACTCTCCATACTCAGGGAAACTGTTAAAATATGTATAATGACAAGTATGGCATGACACTGACCAATCAGAGCAGTCATGGCTGTAGATAGCTGGTGTGAGACTATAAAGGGTGTGCCAACTGTATACCAATCCTGCCCCTACTCCTGATTATTTCTGTGAAAGTCTGGCTCAGGAGCTGAAGAGCAAAGATAGATAAAGAGGGAGACTCAGGAGCAAACAGTTGAGGAGGTGAAGTCAGGAAGCGAGTTCACAGGTTTCCTAAACATCAGCCTATCCCTCCCTCAAACCCCATCATGCCATCCCCTCAGCCTCACTGTGGCCTCTGGGAATGTCCTTCTCATGCTTTGTGCCCTGAGAGAACAGCTTTTCCACCACCTGCAGCTGCATATTGGAGGCTGATGAAACAAAGGGGACCTGGTCTGTATTCTGCAGCATTATATCAAGCTTGACAGTGGTCAGGTGATTCCCCGGGTGGTTGACCCCAATCTGCCTGCAGAATTGGTGCTTTACTAAGCCTGACAGTCAGAGATCAGGACTTGGTCTTATCCAGTCTTGAGTACTGTCTGCCAAGTCCCATGGAAAACCCCAAAGCCTCCTTTCCTCTTCTGTTTTTCTCAGATGCCAGCTGATTTTGGGTCTTTGCCATCACATACTATTATTGCTGAGTTATCCCACTGGCTTATTCCCCTATCCCTAGCCTCAGGACTGTCCCCTTATTCCCTATAAGGGTTCCTGATTGCTTATCAACTGCTAGGAGTCAGAGATTTCAATTTATAGTTCTTGGCTATTGATGAGGTCCTGTCTTTTCTATGAGGATAGGCCATTTCCCAACTGACCAAGAAATATTTATTGAGCACCACCGAGTGCAAGGCATTTTATTAGCTATAGAAATGGGGTTATCAAAAGGCAGGAAGCATGTCCCCTGCCCTTAAGGAGTCTTCACTATAACTGTGGAGAGCCAGTATGTAAACACAGAAAAGATAACCAGTAATACAAGGTAACCTCAGTGTGTTATTTGAGGCTCTCCTGGGTCTGTTGAAAAGCCTGTCACAAAGTTTACAAAGAAAGATAAAACAGCTGGTAAAAAGTTCTAGAATGACAATTAAAATACATCATGATTTACAGGCGAGGCTTGATCAGATTAGGCTGTTACTAGCTAGATTGTTAGGGTTTAGAAAATAAAGCAATGTTCTCCAGAATTTACCTTGGGTTCACTACAAACAAGTTATGACACATTTATCTTTTTTCTGATAAGGTTCTAGAACTTCATTCTAAGGAATGCCTTATATTTGGCATATCTTGAGTTCCACAAGACCTTAGGAAAAATCTCGTATGGTATCTTTATAGAAAAGAGGGCTAGATAAGATATGGGTTCATGGATTCCGAGCTGGTTGAAGGACTGTCCTCTAAGAGTGTTGATGTCTAGTTCTTTGGCATTCCCAGCTGATGTAGGTCTGTCTACATATTTGTTGTGATCAACATTTTTAGCAGTGGTTTGGGTAAAGACCATGAGGATATTCTGATCATTCTGTTGATGACCAAATTGAGGAGAAACAGCTTAATGTCAAGACCCAAAACTATCTTGACCTCTTGTAGGTATGTACTCCAAAGCACTGAAAGCAGGGACATAAACAGATATTTGTACACTCATGTTCACGGTGGCATTGTTCATAATAACCCAGAGGGGTAAGCAACCCACATGTCCATTGACAGGTAAATAAATCAAATGTGGTCTATACATACAGAGGAATGAAATTCAGCCTTAAAAAGAAAGCGCATTCTGACACATGCTATAGCATGTATGTACCTTGAAGCCATTATTCTAAGTGAAATAAGCCAGTCACAAAAGGACAAATTCTGCATGATTCTACTACTATGGTTCTACTCATACTGCTACTTAGAGTAGTCACATTCATAGAGACAGAAAGTAAAGTGGTGGTCGCAAGGGCCTTGGGGGAGAGGGAAATGAGAAGTTCATGGGGTACAAACTTTCTGTTTTGCAAGATGAAAAATGCATGGAGATGGATGGTGGAGATGGTTGCACAACAATGTGAATGAATGCATTTAATACCACTGAATTGTACACATAAAAATGGTTAAAATGATAAACTTTGTGTTATGTATATTTTGTATGTAAACAAATCCTGCCCCCAGACCTGTAATAACAATAGGAAAAAAGGCAGACTCCTTTTTATATTAAAAAAAAAAAAAAAAAAAGATATACAAATACTGGATGAGAACATGGCTGGACAGCAGTGTGGTGGGTAAGCTCTCCTGAACCCATCCACGTTTTCTGAAAGCATGTTGAGGAACCAGTAGTGGTCAAGGGTGGTTTTAACCCTTTTGGGAACCCTACGTGCAGCTAGTTGGGCTTAATCTATCTGGAAGCTATATGGCATCAATGACTAGGGCCAGTGTTTCTCCTCAAGCTGGGGCGCCTATGAACTAGGCTTTCCCAGTGGCAGGGTAAAGACTTAACCCTTTCTGTTACAAACACCGCTCCACTGTTGGTTGTTTATAAGTTTGGGTTTCTGGCCAAAGTGGTGTCTTCTATTCTTGGTTGGTATGAAAAACAGATCTGGCCAGATTTCCTTCAGTATCGGCTGAACGCCATTCTGATGATCAGCCCCGTTTCCTTACTCCCTGAGTCCTCCAGGTTACCTCTCCTTCTGGATAGATGGATGAACCCATGCCCTGTTGATATTTCACATTTATTAAAACATGACTGGGTACAACAGACCGGGCAGAAAACCCCACAAGTCTCTTAAGCCTTCTATCCCCTACTCCCCAGGAGCCATGCTATATAATTAGCTTTCTTTCTCCCTTGCCAGCCTTCTTGAACCTTTCCCTCCCCACTGGATGAAACCTTTAAACCAAGAATCTGAACACCTTAAACTGAATCTAGTGAGTGAATGAGCTCTGCTAAAAATGGCTCTGCCAAAGGACAGGGAATAGGATACCCATCTGCACAATCACATAGAGGGCAGAATTCGTGTTCTGTGATTACAGCCCTCCTCTGTTCTCTGGGGGCACGGAAGGAGAATCTGAAAGTGTTTGTGGCAGAAAACACTGGAGACCATGATGGGGAGGAAATGCCTCCAGGTGGAAGGAGCTGGAGGGAACAGAAAGAAGCTCTGAGAGAAGGGAGGAAGGCTTGGTTATTGGGTTGAGGGCTTCTAACAGTTGGGCAAAGAAGTTGTGGTGGCACAGCGATCACTGTCCCTGCCTACCTGGCTGCTGTTACCTGACCACTTTGTGGTGTCTGTTCTCCTACCCAGATCACGATGAGGACCTAGGGCATCTGCCTGCTGACTATACCCCTGGCCTGTAGTGACAATGGCCCCCCGCAAGAGGAGTCGCCATGGCCTGGGCTTCCTGTGCTGCTTTGGGGGCAGCGGCCTCCCTGAGATCAACCTCCGGGACAACCACCCTCTGCAGTACATGGAGTTCTCAAGTCCTATCCCGAACCCAGAGGAGCTTAACGTCCGCTTTGCAGAGCTGGTGGTCAGTGAGGGGACAGGGAAGGGAGGGTGTTTACAATGGAGAGGGGCACTCTGGAGCGGACAGAGGGTGGGGGCCCATGTGCTGGGATCTCTATGAAACTCTGCTTGGGGTTGGGGTGGGCCCCCTAGGACACCTCAGCTAGGGAGAAACGAGTCACTGCCTAGTGTGGATACCGTGAACTATGTCCCTGGAAGAATGGACCTACCTCGTATCTCCAAGGGATTCTAGACCTCATGGTACAGCAGTTAGGCTACCATGAAAGGAGCAGGTCCAGGGTTTTGTGAAATAAGGCAGTGAGGAGCTTCAAAGAATACCAGAACACTTGACACCTTTCTCTCTCTTGGTCTCTGAAACTTCCCTGAGATCCTTTCAACTCAGATACAGGAACAAGGGACAGAGTGGGATAAAGCAGGGGATCCCCCTCAAAGCAGGGGATGGTTGACTAGAAATATGAAGTTAGTGATGCCTATCTTGCACCCGGTTCAGACCTGGTTCGGGGGTAGGTGATTCTAACCCATGTCTGGCCTATGGCAGGTGGAGGCTCTGTCTTTCACACTAGTGGTAGCTCTTTCTGACTCTGTGGTACCCGTTCAGACTAGAGCAGCAGTACACCTTTGGGTGAACCACTCACGAAGTGGGTTTGCGAAAATTTATATTCTGACCTCAAAGAGACAGAACAGGAAAAGAAGCATGATTCCTCTTCTTGGAGGTCCAGTGGTGAGATAAAGCCAAGGAAATGCCAAGATCAGGGATGCAGGAGCCATGTCCAAGACTCAGGCCTGAACCCTGTCAGAGAGCAATAAACACATGCTCATCTACCATTAGCTCTTGGTCATTCATTCTTGTGGTTGGCCAGTAGTCAAGCCAGTAGAGAAACAATGCTATGTTATTTGAAGTGGGATTTCATAATTGGATTTGATAATAGGTGTATCTGATTAAGGCAATCTAGGTCTTCAAATAACTGTACCACTATAAGATAAGAATATGCAGGTTACACGAAAAAGTTATCCACCCTCCTCATCAGATCAGAGTCAAGGAAACTCATTGTTGTCCTCACGTATGGCTTTCCTCAGGATGGAGCATAGATGGGAAAGAACAAAGCGTTTACTAGAATAGAATGACATTTGGAATCTGATCAGTGTTAGTACTACTAAGATCTGTTTTTGCTTTTGTTTTTGTTTTTTTAACTCAGAATACTGCTGACACCAAATGTGTGGGTTTTCCACACCAGGCAATTCCCTAACTCATTGTGGACACCAACTGGTGTCTACAACTTAACTCCATGCTGACGCTAACTACCCAGAGTTAACACAGACCTCACAGATGAAGGGCTCAGATCCACCAGACAGCCCCCCACCCAGACACCAGTTACAATTAATAGATCCCCATGTTACCCACACTTCTGAGGGACTTGGCTATAAGTTGGAAGTTCCCATGATGCTCTCCTCAGGTTCTATAATTTGCTAGAAGGGCTCACAAAATGCAGGGAAACACTTCACTTACTACTACCAGTTGATTATAAAGGATATTATGAAGAATACAGATGAATAGCCAGATGGAGGGGGTATATCAGGTAAGGCCCAGAAGGGTAAGGAGGGTAAGGCTCCTGTCTGGAGCACAGGTGCATCTGTCTTTGTAGAGTTTGAGTGCACTATCCCTCCAGCATGCGAATGTGGTCACCAGCCCAGAGGCCCTCTGAGCCTCATCATTTAGAAGCTTTAATGGTGGTTTCGTCATGTAGGTCTGATAGTTTTCTAACTTTGCCTTCAGTCTCCCTTCTCTCTCCAGAGTTTGAGAAGTGGGGCCGAAAATTATAGGTTTCTAATCAAGGCTTGATCTTTCTGGTGACCATCCCCTTGAAGGTCTTTAGGGTCCCATCAAGAGTTGCTCCACTAGAAAAACAGAGGTCCCTGCCACCCAGGAAATTCCAAGGGATTTAGGAGTTCTGTGTTAGGAACAAAAGATGCTCATATCAGTTGTATCACTCATAAAATTCCAAGGGGATTTGGGAACTTTATGCTATGAACTGGAACAAAGATAAATATATTTCTTACATTATCACAGCAGGGGCATTTTCCTGAACAGAGCACATGAATTTTGAAAGAAGGATGGGATGAGAGATGTTCATTTCTTTGGCCCTTTTATTCAGCAAGTATTTATTGAGCATCTTCAGCGGGCAGGACTCCTTACAAAGTACTTTGACAAAAGCAAAGATGAGTCATCCAAGTCTTGTCTGCAAGGAGGCTAGCATCAGCAACAAACTGAGCAAACTAGCGTTGAACCAGTTTTGAGTGCTGAGCTAGCATTGAGACTAGCATTGAGCAAACAAATGAAAAATGTTCCTTGAGAGCCTGCTGTGTGCTGGGCCCTATGAAGGCCCCAAGGATTTAGTGATGAACCAGCAGGTACAGTCCCTGCCTCCAAAAAAAATGGGGAAGACTGATCTTGAATAGTAATGACAAGTGTGGTGAGTGTTTAGAAGGGGAATGTTCATGGGCCCACGGCAATGTCTAGTAGGGAGTTTAATTCTCAACAGGGGGTCACGATGGTCCCCTGAAGCAATGACAGTTACACTGAGATCTGAAAGCAGAGTGATGGCTAGAGAAGTGAATGGGGGTTGCAGAGCAATGACAGAGGGTCATCCCCAACAGAAGAAGCAGCATATGTGAGAATCTCCAGTCAGAAAGGAGCTTGGTCCTTATAACAGGATTCTGAATAACAGGATTTCAGATTCAATCCTAAAGGTGTTAGAAAGCCACTGAGGCAGGATGGCCTTCTAAAAGACCAGAGTACTCTGTTGAGGAAAGGTTATAGGGGCAGACCATTAGGAGGGCATTGATGCAATTCAAGCTAGGGAGAATGGTGGTTTAGACTAAAGTGTCATCAGTGAGGATAAAGAGCTATTTCGGAGGAAATATAATAGCACTTGTTGGGCTTGGGGAGTGAGTAGGAATCAGGGAACACCCAAGTTTCTGACATGAGGAACTGGGTGGATGTTGGGGCCCTGTAAAGGACAGGAGATGCCAGAGGAAACTCAAGTTTAGGGGACTGGGATGATGAACTCTGTGCATCAATTTTCCACATCTGTAAAATGGGTTGGTGTAAGTTAAGGAGTAAACATTAAGCACTTAGAACAGTGCGTGACATGTAGTGACACTACATAAATGCATGAGGTGCTTGAGGGACATCAAAATAGGCACAGGAGGCAGTTGGGTCCCAGGGGCTGGAGCTCAGGAGACTAGTGGACTGTTTAAGAGAGTTTAGGGTAGTAACAGTCCTTGGGAATGACTGAGAAGTCACCACCTGGGGAAGCATATAGGAAGGAGACCCCAGGATCCAGGATGGTACCCTGAGGGAATTCAACGTTTGATGGCAGGAGAGAAGACAAGTCATCAAGGGAGCCCAAGACGAACATAGAGCAAAGCAGGAGGGATTGCCAAAGAGTGTGGCTGTCATTGCAGAAACCAGGGGAGATTCAATAAGGAATGAATGATCTGTAGTCAGTCATAGGCTATCTGGGCTGAGCCAGATCGCCAAGAAATATCCATTGATTTAATTACAGAGACCACTGGCGAAAGAAGACAGGTGTATAAATAACTAGAATCCAAGGCTGAATGTAACTGTTCTGAAGTTCAGGAAGGGAGAGGTGGTCTTACCTGGGAATGGCCATGAAAGGATCGCTGGAAGAGGCTGACCATGAGCCTGGGTAGATTAGACCAGGTCCATGGGGTGGGTGGTCACTGTGTAAGCAAAAGAAGAAATGCAGTTTACACTGGGACGTGTAAGGTGCACATATCTTTACTTTTTCTTTGATTTCTGATTCTGACCATCGAAAGGAAATTCACCAGCAACTTTAAGCAGGACTCTGGGAATCTTGACGGATGTTACTGGGATATGTTGAGAATAATTCTAGGGAAGAACCTTTGTTTAGCATTAGATCTGCCAGAGTCTTTAGTTCCAAAGGCAGGTGAACTGATGGACATTGTCTCAAATTATCTTTGCATGTGATGCCCAAGATGGCAGCCACTGGTCACTTGGGGCTGCTACGTACTTGAGATGTGGCTGGTCTGAACTGAGAGGATCTAGAATAATGAAATACACACCAGATTTTGATAACTTAGATACTTTATGTTCTTTTTGTTTTTTTCAAACTCACTGATCATTTTCTATTAATTACATGTTGAAATGATTATATTTTAGATATTTTGGATTAAATGAATTATAATTAAAATTTAACTTCACCTTTTATTTCTTTATCTTTACTGTGACTAGAAAATTTAAAAAATACATGTGGCTCACATTATAATTCTATTGCACAGTTCTGATCTATAGAAAGGAAAGTCTTCAATTGTCTCCCTTGAATAAAAGTATAGGGAAAAGAGATTTTTGATATTTTAGACTCTCATACCTTCTTAGATATTACTTTCACTATTTATCATTTTTGAAAGTATAAAGATTATTAATAGTGTGCTTTATTGTCTTAATGCAAGAATTGCTTTTGATTAAAAAAAAAACCTCACAATAATTGAGTTGAAAAGCACACTATGTTCCCCATGGACCATTAACTGTTTCTTTGATGAGCTTTGGCATAGCTCATGAATCACAGGAGAAAAATCTTCAATAAGAGAGCTTTTTAGAGGCCCTCTAGCACAACCAAATCTATGGTGTCCCTCTGAAGTACCTATAGAATTGGATGGCATCACCCAAATTTGATGACATCAGAAACTACCCAGTTCTACTTCTCAAAAAGTGTGGGCTAGCCTGGCAGAGCTCCCAGCCTTATGTGGGTGGACGGGCTACCTCTGATAGGCACATGTCCACAGGAAGCAGATCAGTGCCTCCCTGGCCATGGCAAAGTCTTACTGCCAGGAGAATTGGTCAGCTTCTTGTCGTCACCAGCTCTCCTCAGCCTGTGCTGGGACCATGCTGAAGTTTGGAGAGCCAGAGAATTTCTGGGGGAGAAACTCAAAGGCCTGAGAGACTTGCAGGATGGGGGCAAAACCCAGACATGTAGACTGACTGCTTTCTTTGTCAGGCTATGACTTACGATGTTGACAAGTTTAAGAAGGACAAGAGAAGGAAGACCAGAGACCTGGGGCAAGAGGGTTAGGAGCAAGCAGAGCAATGCAGAAAGGAGATGGCAGGGAGCAGGGGGCCTGGAGGAGGAGGACATATTTGTAGAGACAAGTGGGAGTGGACAGGAAGTAAGGGAAGCATGGATAGAAGCAGCCCAGCCTTGGTTGGGTGCAAGGGAATGGGAATGGGGCAGGGCTACAATTCTAGCAGAAGAACTGCCCTATCATACTTTTGCTGTTCTCTGGAGGAAGGTAGTAGGCTGAGGGATAGGTTTGGGGGGAATTGCAATTTCCTGTAGCACTGAATATTCTAATGTCAGCCATCTCAGACCTCTCTCTTGTCTTTTCAGGATGAATTGGATCTCACAGACAAAAACCGGGAGGCTGTGTTCGCACTGCCTCCGGAGAAGAAATGGCAGATCTACTGCAGCAAGAAGAAGGTGCCATGGCTGACCCCTTCCGCTGCCACCTCAGGGTCCCCAGCACGGGGCAGCTCTTGCCCCCATGCTTTGCTCGCTCATTCAACAGATATTATACCCCGGCACCATTCTAGGTGTTGGAGGAACAACCATGAATAAATCAGGATGAAAAATTCCCTGCTCTCATGGAGCTTACACTCCGGGAAATGGGATTCTGTTTTTCAAAAACCCTTGATGCAGGTGCCTACTGGGTTCCAGGAGTGGGGCTGGGTCAAGGAGATGACAGTCTCAGAGATGACAGTATCACTCCCTTCCCATGCCCGCTTGGAGGGCGTGCTGCCTTGTGACATACCCGAGGGACACTTTGTTGTAAGGACTGAGTTGGAGGTGAGGGTGGCCTCTTCTGGATCTTTGCCCCCCCACCCTGTCCCAGGCTCAGCCTCACAGGGTCACACATCAGTCCCCATTCTCCCCCACCCTCTCCTTGCTCTCTTCTCCTTCACTAAAAGATGCCATTGGTCTCCTGAGTAAGGAGTGCCAGGCTCCAGTCTGGCTTCTTTAGCTCTTATCTCCTCCGCTCTGCTTCCCAGCAGTGGTGCTTTTTTCTCTCTTGGTCTTCCTCCATTTCTCTCTCTTGCTCATCTCTTTCTTTCTCTATCCCTCTTGCCCCCTTTCTATTTTAGTCTTTTTCTTTCATTCTGTTTTTCTTGGCCCATCTTCTTCATCTCCCCTCCACCCTCCCATTTTTCAGACTTGCAGTTGTTCCTTTGATGTCAGAGTATAGGAATTTGGGAGTTAGGACCCAGTTATTCCTGTGCCTGAAGCACAGACCTGCTCCCTCCTGGGAGAAAACAGGCAGGTCTAGGGCAGTTCTGAGCTATTGCCCCTTCGTGTTCCCTGAGCCCATTTATTCATGGCTCTTATCCTCTTGCCCACGATATTTGTCCCATCTGAGGCTCCATGACCTTATAAAATTGGAGGAATTAGAATGCTACACCATCCTGGAATTGAAAGGAGGTCAGAAACAATTCAGTCTAGTCCTTTCTTCTGCATATGAAGAAAGGACAGCCTAGGGAGGCTGCGTATGAAGAAGGGACAGACGGGGCGCCTGGGTGGCGCAGTCGGTTAAGCGTCCGACTTCAGCCAGGTCACGATCTCGCGGTCTGGGAGTTCGAGCCCCGCGTCAGGCTCTGGGCTGATGGCTCAGAGCCTGGAGCCTGTTTCCGATTCTGTGTCTCCCTCTCTCTCTGCCCCTCCCCCGTTCATGCTGTCTCTCTCTGTCCCAAAAATAAATAAACGTTGAAGAAGGGACAGCCTAGGGAGGCAGTGGACTTGCCCAAAGGTCCCAGCCAGTTATGGCCAGTGGTTGCACCATTGCTAAAATCCAGACTGGCTGGAGTCCAAGAGCCTGTGGCAAGATGTAGAGGCTGTGCACACAGCAGTCTAGTATACTTGATGCACATTTATTAGGCACCTGGACAATACCATATGCTGTGTCCAGGAATGTCATTGTGAGAAAGAAGGTCTTAAAAAAGCTCAAGTCATGGGAGGGAAGGAGGGATGGAGGAGAAAATTAACTTCAGGAGTAGCTAATCATGTCTGGTGCTTCTCCACTCTCCAAATTGATTTACCATGAAGTTCCTGTCAGTTGATCTCTTACACAACTAGAATAAAAAAAAAAAATTACTGAAATGTAAGGACCTCTTGTTCTACCTTCCAAACCAAATTATAAGTAATCTTCCCCCACACTTTCACACACCCCTGAAGTGACACTTCCTCTGTCTGTAATACCCTCCCCACCTGCCCTAGGTTTAGTAATCTTTAATAACTCTGTCCTTTTAGAGTCCCCTTCATGAGCCTTCTGTGTTAGATGTCCCCAACCTGGGTTTCCACGACCCACTATAGACAGTTCTACCATAGAGCATTTATCACTGCCTCTGGCACTAGACTGACGTATGGAGGGCAGGGACTGACATTTTGCTCAGTACTTTAAGGGCTCAGTACAGTGATTGGCATGTAGTAGGTGTTCATTTAATGCATATGGAAGGGTTACATGATGAGCTGGCAAAAGCAAGAAAGTATGTTTTTATGGTACATTTGTTTTTGTTTCTGTGATTCCCCTCCCCAAGGTCAGAAGATGGAATTTGGGGGCTTCAGGCATGAAGAGTTAACACATAGCCATGTGAAGTCACAAAGACCAAATCAAGGCAGCTTTCTCACTGGTCTGCAACTTGGATTTTATGAGAGAAAATTGTAAAGCCTGAGTAGATGTAGCTGAGGATGCAGGGTAAAGTCCAGGTCAGCTGGCAGACAGGTGGTATATCAGAGAGGTTTTGGAGGAGGAGGTAAGTTTTGGTGCAGATTTGAAAGCAGGAAATTAGCAGAAGGCAGGTGAGGGGGAACGTCCAAATGGGATGGGGATAGGAAGGAGCAGGGTGTGTGTAATGCCCAGAAGCAGATTCTTTGGATAGAGGAGAGGGCTAGATTTTCAATGAGCATTAATATTTATTTAGCTTTCATTGTTCTTGCCCATCCTTGGGGAGGAGTTGAGGCTTTCCCTTGGAACCTGAGGGCTGGGCCAAAGGCCTCTGCCCTGGGTTCTGCCTCACAGCTACACTTACCCTTCCTGAGTCTCTCCCAAACCCAGGGCCTTGGAAACCTCTTTCCTTCTTTTCCTAAACTTGCTATTTACTTAGCACCTACCATGTGCCAGGCACTGCACCAAATGCTTTGTATCTGTGCTTCCCCAATGATCTCAGAGAAAGACCAAGTTTTTAAGTTTCCAAACTGTCACAAACCAATACTTTTGTAAAATACAGTAAGAATGATCTTATTAGAACAGTAAAATTTGAAAACCCAGATGTACAAGCTATAAGCACAGATTTTTCTTCGGTTCAACAGACATAAAATTATATTTTATTAAAAAGAGATAGGGGCACATGGGTGGCTCAGTTGGTTAAGCGTCCGACTTCGGCTCAGGTCATGATCTCATGGTTTATGAGTTTGAGCCTCACGTTGGGCTCTGTGCTGACAGCTCAGAACCTGGAGCCTGCTTTGGATTCTGTGTCTCCCTCTTTCTCTGCCCCTCCCCTGCTCATGCTCTGTCTCTCAAAAATAAATAAATGTTAAAAAAATAAAAAGATCAAATTTAAAAAGAGAACCAATATAAGAAAAAAAGAATGTATTTTTAATTATGTATATGTATATAATACATATGTAATACATATGTAATATATGTATGTAATACACACACACACACACACACACACACACAC